GTACCTCCTTCTAATCTCCAAACTACAAATTCTCTGCATAATATTCACACTACACATTGCCCTCAGACACAACATCTCCACTGCCTCCAGCTTCCTCCTCATTTCAATATTCACAACCCATGCTTCACACCCATATAAAAATGTTGGTACCACTGTACTTTCATACATTCCCCATTTTGTTTTCATGGATAATGTTCTTTGTCCTCACAGACTCTTCATTGCCCCACTTACCTTTTCCTCCTGTCAAGTTCATCTCATCTTTCATAGACCTATCTGGGAGTGGACCAACAAAGTCCACTCCCAAATATCTGAACACATTCACATTTTCTATACTCCCTCCCTCCAATCCAATATCCAGTCTTTCATTACTTAAAACGTTTGTTACCCTCATCACCTTGCTCTTACCTATGTTCACTTTTAATTTTCTTTATTTACATTTCCTCCCAAATTTGTCCACCAACCTTTGCAACTTCTCTTCAGAATCTCCCAAAAGCGCCATGGCATCAGCAGAAAGTAATAGTGACAACTACTTTGTATTAGAGTCTCTTTTTTTTTTTCCAATCCACATCTCTTCCCATTACCCCAGCATGCACTTCTCTTCAACCCCCATCTTTAACCCCTTGAGGGTCGACAGGCTCTCTCTGAAACTTGTTCTCAGGGTCGGCCAAATTTCAAAAAAAAAAATTATTTTTTCTTATGAAAAGATAGAGAATCTTTTCCCAATCATAATGACACCAAAAGTATGAAATTTGATGGAAAACTTACGGAATTATGCTCTCGCGAAGTTAGCGGTCTTGACGATGTTTACGTATCAGCAATTTTGCCCAATTTGAGCCCTATTTTCGACCAATTCCAATGTACTAGTCGACAAATATCATAACTATTTCGCTAGAACTCCATTTTTTCTAGCGAATGAGTACAAGAAACCACCCATTTACCAATTTCAACCATCCAATAAAGTGGCCAGAATTTAGCAATTTTGCCAATTTCACACTAATTTCAAAAGATGCCAATTTCCGAATAGGGTCCAGAATAAACAAAAAAGACATTCCTGGCACTAAAAGAACAAGTTCTCTGTTCGTTAGTCACATCCCCAGGCCTCTCTTATATTTCTTTGGCTTTCCACTTTGAATTTTTATTCTTACAAAAAATAGAAGATTTACTGTTATGCAGACTACTGCATTAGTGTAGAAATGGTATAAATAATATCATCGCACTTGTGAAAGAATATTAGACTCACCAGTTGACGTGTATTGGACGCTTGGCATGATTTGTTTACTTTTGAACTTTGATAAAAATCGAACATTTCTGCTACTTTGCGCTCAATTTCAAGGTACTTTTCATTGTAAAACCAGTCAAAATCACCTCAATTTCTGTAATATGTCTTCCATTCTATAAAATGAGACCAAGAAAACTAGAATACAACAATAAATACCATACGAAAATACAGTGCAAAGTCGCTGTTTTATTCCAAAAACACGGTCAGAGTTTTTTTTCTCATTACGCACTGTGTGCTGCAGGATTTTTTTTATACTGCGCACACTGACCACAGACCCATTCTTTCATATGTAGGCCTACCAGCTTTCTCTCATTAGATTTGAAGGCACTGGAATTTAGGCATACTAGTGCGTCAAAAACCCTGGGTCGTAAGCCGTACTAGTACGGCCGAAACCCTCAAAGGGTTAAATATATTAACCATGGTGACATTATGTATGCCTGTCTAAGGCCTACTTTTACTGGAAAATAATCTCCCTCTGTCCTAAATGCCCATATGTAAGCCTCACTATCCTTGTTAAAATTCCTCACTGCCTTCAGTAACCTACCACCTATTCCATACACTAGCAGTATTTGCCACATTGCTTTCCTATCCACCCTGTCAAGTACCTTTTCTAAATCCATAAATGCAATGAAATCTTCCTTACCCTTATGTAAATACTGTTCACTTATTTGTTTCAATGAAAACACTTAGTCTTCACATCCCCTGCCCTCCTAAAGCCTCCTTGTTTCATCTGCAATTCTTAATTCTTTCATTCACATTACCAGTTATACTCAGCAGGCTTATTCTCCTATTATTCTTACACACACTTTTCTCCTTTGCCTTTATACACTGGAACTATGCATGTTTTCTGCCAGTCCCTAGGTACCTTTCGCTCTTTCATGCATATATTGAATAGAAGCACTAACCATTCCAAAACAATATTCCCACCTGCTTTTAACATTTCTATCTTGATCCCATCAATCCCAGCTGCTTCACCCCTTTTTGTTTTACAGCTTCATGCCCTTCCACCACCCTCACATCTGGCTCTTCCTCACTCCTATAAGATGTTATACCTCACTGGCCAATGCATGAAATCACACCCTCTCTCTCAATCTTCATCAACATTTAATATATCCCCATCTTCCTAATACCTCCAACTCTTCATTTAATAACTCTCCTTTTCTGTTTGTAACTGTCAAATCCATTTGTTCCATGAGTTTTCTGAACTTATTAATCTCACTCCAAAACTTTTTCTTGTTCTCAGCAAAATTTGTTGATAGCACCTCGCCTACTGTCTCATTTGCTCTCCTTTTATATTCCCTTATAACTCTTTTAACCTCTCTTTTACTCTTCATATACTTTATGCTCCTTGTATTACTTCTGCTTTGCAAAGCCTCTCGCATCCTAACTTTTTCTCTCTGGCCACTCTCTTTACCTCATCATTCCACCAGTTGCTCCTCTTCTCTCCCACACCCACTTTTCTATATCCACAAACTTCTACTTCACACACTAACACTACATTCTTAGATTTACCATATTCCTCTTCAACCTTCTCATTACCTATACTCTCACTAGCCCATCTCTTTAGCTGTAATTGCTCATATCTTGCCCAGACTACCTCCTCTAGTTTATACACCCTCATCTCTCTCTTACTCACTGACACCATTCTCCTTATACCCCCTCTGCATTTTGCTTTCACTGTAGCTACAATTAAAAAATGATTAGATACATCTGTTGCTGCTTTTTAAGGATGCACACCCAAAAGTCTTCCCATCAACCTTTTATCTATCCATAATACATAGTCCAACAAACTTTTGTCATTATGCCTTTTATCATATCTTGTATACTTATCCTCTTTTTCTCAAAATACTTATTGCTTATTACCAAACCTCTTTCTATACAGAGTTCAATCAAAGGCCCACCATTATCATTTACCCCTGACACCCCAAGCTTATTTTCTATGTCCTCTACAACCATATCTCCTTTTTCAGCATTTAGGTTCCCTACCACAATTACTCTCACTTGGTTCAAAACTCTAAACACTTGCTTAACATCTCCCAAGATCTCTCCTCTCTCTTCTCCAGGCTCATAAACACTTGGCATAATCTACTTTTTGCATCTGACCCTTATTTTAATCTACATAATCCTTGAATTTATACATTTATATTGTCTCTCTTCTGTGCCATCACTGATCCTTCAACATTATTGCTACCCCTTCCTTAGTTCTAACTCTCTCAGATGCACTTGACCTAACCCCATTTATTTCTCCCCACTGAAACTCCCCTACCCCATTTATTTTTGTTTTGCTTAGAGTCAGGTCAGGACATTCAGCTTCCTTTCGTTCTGCCAATCATCTCTTATCTACACAACATCCACACACATTCAAATATCCCAACTTTATAAAGTTTTTCTTCTTATGTTTAGTAATTTATACAGGAGAAGTGGTTACTAGCCCCTTGCTCATGACACTTTAGTTGCCTTTTACAACACATGTAGGAATTCTTTTCCACTCTTCCATGGAGGTAAAGAACAAGAATACTAAGAAATAGAAGAAAACTCGTATGTGTACGTATGCATATATATGTATATGCATGTGTAATGAGACCTGAATATAAATAGAAGTAGCAAGATGTACCTCTTATCTTGTTTATGAGAGAGAGAGAAAGCACCAGCAATCCTACCATTGTGTAAAACAATTGTAGGTTTCAGTTAAACATGTGTTTAGCAGGATGGTAGTACCTCCCTGGGTGGTTGCTGTCTACCAGCCTACTACTACCAACCAAATTTAAAAAAAAAAAAATGGAAACACTCCTAATAGGGCCTATGTAGTGCTAGGATTGAGGAAACATTTCCGTTATATTTCTTCAGTCCATTGGATAGACAAAGGTTCCACAACTGAAATGTCTTAATAAATATCCTAGGGGTGTTAATATTGCAGTTTTATAACTGTAGTGAAAGCATGCCTATGGCAAGACAGTGACGGAGTGAATGATGATGAAAGCTTTTCTTTTTCGGTCCACCCTGCCTTGGTGGAAAATGGCCAATGTGTTAATAAATAAAAAAAAAAAAATCCTAGTGCTACAGGTGTATCTTATTAGTTGTTGGTACTTGATACCATCCTTCACCTAGATGACATTTTTCTTGCAGTACAGTGTATTTGTCCATCATACTGTTTACAATTGGTAAAAGGAAGAAAGGTAGCACGTGATTGATGAAGGTTATATTTGAGATATTTTTAACTCTTATAAGTAATTTGTTCTTATTTGTAGATATTTTATATTTTTTGAGTATGATTGAATTTGTGATGTTCAGTACACTTTTCATGAAAAGTTTAAGCATGTGTTCTGATCACACTTGTCCTTATATTTAGTATCAATAATTTTTTATTTGATTAGTTATTAGTTATATTGCTTCAGTTTTTATGAATTTCATACTGCCTATTAAATTTAGAGTGAATGCAAGAAACTTACAATAAATATGTCGAACATTGTAGTAGCTTATACCTGTAGAGTTGACCTAACCAACCAGAATAGCTAGCTAGCTTTTGCAAAGTACACACAATTCACTGTATAAATCTGCTAGACCTTGAGTAAATAAAGCATTCTGAAAATTGAGGACAACATGTATTCACATTTGTGCATGGTTAACTTGTTAAAATGTAATACTGCATGTCAGTATATTCATCTTTTTTATTTAGAGTGTGATTTGTTTGTTTCTTTCTTTGGCTTGTGTTTTGTTTCAGAATCATTTGTCTGTCCCTACTGTAATTAATGCACGCTACCTCCATACATGTAAGGTTAGTACAGTCATGTCATTTTAGTACAGTACTGTACACACATCTTCAGTAGTAGTAGTAGCAGTAGTTGTTTCACTATCACTAGAGTTTGGCATAAATGGCAACAAATATTTTCTTTTTGTAGAGGCTTAATTTTCATAATTTGTCTCTACCAGTTTCTAGGGCTCAGGCAAATATTATTTTCATGTGGAAAAATAGAACTGTTGAGCTGCTGTGTTTTGAATTTTAAGTTTTTATGGTACAATACACTAGCGGTGTTTTGGTTACACTTTGTATGACTCGTATATTTATTGATCTTATATTTGTGCTTTTTATTTTCTGTTGCAGTCAGCACTGCATTACTATTGACATTCCTTACAGGTGCTTTGTGCTCTTGCTTATTTGCTGCCTTTATTGCAGTGCTTATATTTGTAATGACTTTCTACAAAATATCCCCTGATTTTTTCACATAACGTCTGAATCCTCATGCAGAATATGTACAGTACACCAAATTTTATACTCATTCCTTTAAAAAATAATAAGCCAGAAATTAATTATGTATTCAGGAGACTGTCAACAAATGTAAAATTTTGAAAGACTTGAGAAAATATGACTATACAGTAGTTTGTGTATGAATGGCTAATTCTAAGTAATGAAGATTACTTAAAGGAGTTAATGTTATGCATCCTGAACGAACAACAATACTATAAGTATACAGTACAAAGTTCTTGCTAACTGGTGGTAGTGTAATGAAAACTAGTCAATGGAGACAAAGAAAAGCATTTGTAGGCATAAATGAAACCAGAAATGGAGGACTACTACTTAACCTGTGGTCCTCTTCATCTACTGAAGAGGACCTTAGAGGTCAAAATTTACAGCCACCCCCCCCCCCCTTTTTTTTTTTTTTGTTTCATTTTTGTCTGCAGGTGTGGTTTTTTTTCTCTTCTCAAAGTTTGTCTAGAGAAATGTAATGATAGTATACTTCTGTACTACTTTTCCAAACACACTAATTACAATTTATATAAATAAATATTATCAGTAGGTTTAATAGGTGTACAGTGTCTTGGAATATAAACAAAAAACTTCATTTTTTCTATTATAAATTTATTAAAGTGTAGCATCAGCATTTATATCTTTCATAAATGACTTCTAGAAAATGGTGGTGAATAAATGTAAAGATGCTGAATAGGTTCAATAGAAGTACTGTTTACTGCCTTAAAATACTCATATAAAATCAACAGTAAAACCTCCATAATGGTGGAGGTTAAGTGCATGGAGGTCCTGCAACTTTGCCTCTGTTTATTAATTGCATCCCCACCTCTCCTATATAACACTTGCCTCCTCCATTTAGAATCGATCATCACATGCCAAAGAGAAACTTTTTCTTTCCTATTTTTTGGTTAGTAAACCATAACCAAGAATGCTTGGGCATCATTTAGACTCTCACAGTAATTGAAGCAGACCTAGCAAAATCCCATAAAACAGACTATGGGGGGTTTGTGGGGCCAGGAAAATTTCCATTCTTCTCCATGAAAATTGCCCAAAATCAACCATTTCTACCAGTTTGATGCATTTTTCAGGTCGCCTTGTGTTCTTTAATCTATCAAAATCTCCCTTTCACTAGTATGTCTTACAGTTTACATATTGGCACTGAGAAACAGTTAATAATACCAGGAAAATCACCTTAAAAATGCCATCAACACCACAGTTACTATTTTAGCCCAAATGCATGGTCATAGGTTAGCAGTTCATACACTGAGTGTGACAGGATTCTGTTTATACTTCACATACTCACCGCACTGACCCATTTTTATATGGCTAGGCCAAATTTTGTTGCTGACAAATTTTAGGCACTTTGAATTTGGCATATTACATGTTTTTTTTTTTTTTTGCTATTGTTAGATTGAAGGGTTGTGTCAGCTCTAGGCTGACGATTGTTGGTTTAATGAGTTGCTGCGACCCTTAGGCTATCACAATGTGGAACGTACTTGAGGGCCTGGTTCCAGATCGTCACACTTCCATAACAGTATATGGTGTGAGAGAGATGAGAGGATATGTAAAATAGATCCAATGAAAAGCAGGGGTGACATGAGAACAATAAGAGAACACTTTGTCAACATCCATGGTCCAATCTGCTACCAGCAGAAGCGAGACATTACTGGAACTAGCGAAGAAGTCTTCTTGAGGAAACTGGACCATTCTTGAAGTGCCAGATCAACCAGGCTGTGATAGTTATTTGGGCCAGGAGGCTACCATCAGCAATAGCTTTTTTGTTGTTGTTGACTGATTGAACAGTCAATAAACAAAAAAATGGAATGTGGTTGAGCTGCAAGGGTAGAAAAACTCTTGAATCTGGTCACAGGTATATCCAAAGCAGATATTATTTACCCTTTTACTGTCTCATGCGTAGGTCTGTCATTGACGTCTGCGTCACTCATATAAATCAACATTTTGAGCTTAGCTCCCTCAGATAAGCTGTGAATAGTAAATTTTGGTCTAGATACTAAAGAATGGGTCTATGTGGTAAGAAAACTGACAGACTTTCCAGTGAATGATTAGTGCATTTTCTATTCAAAGATGTTCATCAGTCTTTTAAAATTATATGATTGGTTACAGAGATATTGTTGCAAATATGTTGCACATATTTGTAGGCGATCTTAAAAGTGACATGTGGTGAGTTGGTCAGTTTTCTTTTGTAAAGGTTTTTAGGTGATTTTCACAAAAGTGACATTTAGTGAGTTCCTTGCTTTTCTTACCAGTGCCTGAAATGGTCATAAGAATGTACAAAAACAAATTCATTTTTTGGCTAAATTCGTTTAGCCAAAAAATTAATGAGAAAAATGCAATCCTAAATCTCTCTGCCTGCTGTCTGTCACCCTGATGAAGTAGTTGTTTAATCTTGAGTTTCTGCCAACTTTCTGGCTGAGGCACAAGTCTGGCACTAGGCAAGCCTAGTCAGGGCCAGGCTGAGGGAGTGGAAAACTACCAGAACCCATCAAAGGCATTCCATTTTTGTATCAACAGACAATAGACACTACCATCTGCTGTAACTTGCTGCCCCCATCCCCTTCCCCCTTTTCTCTTCACTGAGAGCAATCTTCTGTTCACATTTCCCTATCATACATCCAGTGGCACCTTTGAAGGTGCATCTGCCCCCTTCCTCCTCCACTATACCTCCAGTAGCACTTTGAATATGTACTGCAGTCATCTGCTTCCTGCTAGACAGCAGACTGAAATTCAGCACACACATCCAGAACATTTCTAAAGAAAATGCAAAACACTGGGCTTTCTCTCAAAAACAAATTGTTTGTTTCCCAGACATTCCTGTTCACTCTGTATTCCTCTGATCTAACCACACCTCATCTATTGTATCTTTACATGGGGATCAACGACTGACTAATCACTTTATTTATTTATTTATTTATTTATTTAATTATGTCTTTGCAAATAGTACATTGAGATTATGTATTTACAATAATGGGTTGCAATGCAAAGAGAGCCTCTATTATGCCTAGGCATTATGGACCGACTTAACATTATTGGCTTACTGACTACTTAACACTAAGAATTATATCATAGTTGTACAGTAGAATATTAATTATATCATAGTTGTACAGTAGATTATTAATTATAAATGAATCTAATTTATATAAGACAAAAGATATATTCATATATTCAAAAATGCATTTTGTGAAAACAGTGATTCAGTTATATTCCTGTCAACAATGGATAAAAGGTTCAAAAGTAATTATTGAAATTATGATATGGGAATACATAATTGAGTATGTGTGTACTGAGTATTTAGCATTTAGTCTAAGGTGATTAAGTGGCTTTTGAGAAGAGTCTTAAATTGATTTTAAAACCGGGTTACTTTAATATCTTCTGGTAATGAATTCCATATTTTGGGGCCCTTTATGTGCATAGAGTTTTTACATCAGTGTGATATGGACACGAGGTACATCAAAAAGAGATCTGTGTCGTGTGTTATGGTCATGTGTCCTGTTAAGGTTGGTGAGGAGAAGTTTGAGTGGAGGGTTTATATTTGCGTGTATTGTTCTGTGTATGTAGTAGGCACATGAATAAGTATGGATGTTCTTAATGGTGAGCAGATTTAGACTTTTGAAAATTGGTGGAGTACGCTGGCAGGAGTGGGAATTTATCATTCTGACTGCTGCCTTTTGCTGGGTTATTAGAGGTCTTAGGTGATTTTATGTTGTTATCCCCATGCACTAATTCCATATGTTAGATAAGGGTATATGAGTGAAGGATACGGTGCCAGGAGAGCTGATTGTGGAACGTAGTACCGTATCTTTGATAGTATGCCTACAGTCTTAGAGATTTTCTTGGTGATGTGTTGTATATGTGTCTGGAACTTAAGGCTACTGTCAAGGTGGATGCCTAGGAATTTTCCCTCTGCAACTCTTGTGACTGATGATCCGTTTAGCGTTATGTTAAGTGGATGATTTGCAGCTTTTTAAAAAACTGAATGAGATAGGTTTTATCAATACTCAGGGTAAGTTTATTAGTCATCATCCAGGCAGATATTTTCTGCGATTCGGCATTGACAGTGTTGGCGAGTATGACTGGGTTTGGGTGGGAGAAGATGTATGTAGTGTCATCTGCAAATAATATGGGTTTGAGTAGCTGTGATGCATTTGGTAGATCATTGATGTAGATGAGAAAGAGGAGTGGTCCAAGGACACTTCCTTGTAGGACTCCTACTGTGATTGGTTGGGTGGAATAGTTTGCACCATTTGCACACACACATTGAATTCTGCTACTAAGGTATGACTTTAGGTAGTTGAGGGAGTGGCCTCTGATACCATAGTGCGCTAATATAGAGTACAGCAGTTCATGGTTGACTGTATCAAAAGCTTTCCGTAAATCAATGAAAATGCCCAGCGGGACTTCTTTCTTTTCGAGTGCGGTATATATTAGTTCTAGCATGTGTATGATAGCATCATTTGTGCTTTTATTATTTCTGAATCCAAACTGACAAGGGTTTAATATGTTGTGTGAGA